ACTCTCTCTCTCTCTCTCTCTGCGTCGTCTTGTGTTCTACTACGTATCTCTCTCTCTCTCTCTCTCTCTCTCTCTCTCTGTTCGGACCAGGCTCAATGGTCCAGTGTTATGGGGTTTCGCATTGACTCTATAGCCTTTGTGTTCCAGTTCCACTTAACAGAAAGGAAAAAAAAAAAAGAAAACAAATAATTGTCATCTCATTTATCTCCAATAGAAAATCCTTTGCTATTGGGATTTGATTTCTCAAGAATGCAACTCAATTAAATCCAATTTCAATCACTTGCCTACATTTGAGTAGCCAAATCTTTTATGCTCTTCTAAAATAATTTTTTTTTAAAGTTTTGTAGGACTAGTTCAAAGTCTCAGTGATCATAAGAGAAATTGGGTTTGATTTTAGTTCAAAAATTAATTTGGTGGTTTGATTTCAATTATAGAAAATAATTCTCTAATGACCCAATATTCTACAATGGAACGAGAAATTGGGGTAGATTCAGAATATTAAAATTTGGGTTTTATTTTTATCATCCAAGAAAGAATAAAAAATTGTCTTTGCATTAATTGCAGATGGTGGGAGTCAGGACTGGCTTGCCATTGCCTTCTATGTGGGAGATATTGGCTCAGCTTGTGGTTTACTTCTTGATAGAGGATTATGGGAATTATTGGATGCACAGGGCTTTACATGGAAAATGGGGCTATGAAAAGATTCATAGAGTTCACCATGAATTCACAGCTCCAATTGGATTTGCTGCTCCTTATGCTCATTGGGCTGAGGTCTTGATACTTGGTATCCCCTCTTTTGTTGGGCCTGCACTTGTTCCTTGTCACATGGTCACCCTGTGGTTGTGGATTGCCTTGCGCCAGATAGAAGCCATTGATACTCATAGTGGGTATGGCTCTAAATCTTGATTACTTTCTCATTATATTTTGGGTTGTTTTTCTTCTGTTTTATAGTGGTTTATATAGGTCATGGTTTTCACAGAAGAAAGGGAATGATGGGGTTTTCGGTTTCCTAACTTTCGATGGTTTGTTTTTGTTTTTCCCTCCTTTTTACTACGATGATATTAGTTGGATGGTAATGGGATCCTTCTCTCTTACATTAACCAGAGTGTTCTTGCTATTGTGATGTGATGTGAATTACTCTCTCTCTCTACCCCCTCCCCCCTCCCCCCTCCCCCGGCCTAAAAGGTTCTCTGAATTTGTTGTGTTGTTGCACCTGCACTGGGGCACTCACCTTGTAGATGTTTGTGGTACTTATTAACCTCATGAGAAAGAAACAGTTTAATCTGATGTCTGTTTCTAGATTTAAAGTGATTCCGTATGTTCCTTGTGTCTATTAGAGAAACATATGATGGTTTTTTTGCTGAAAATATGCGGAATTTCATTTTCTGATGGAACTTATATGTTGGAGTGGGTAATTTTGGTCGACTGTTTTGAGTGCTTTATGATCCTGTTTCGTATAATAGATCATACATTGTAGAGTAAGGTTTGATTACTGGGCTTGGGGCTCAGGACGTGGGCCCTGCCCTAGCCGAGTAACTCGTGAATGGGCTCGCCTGAGTAGTATACAAGCCCAAAAAAGGGCTAATTTTTTTTTTGTTAAAAATAAAAATTAAAAGCAAACTAAATTATAAACAGCATTAAAAGTAAAAAAAGTTGGAAAATTATAAAAAAAATGGAATTTGGAAAAAGTTGATTTATTGCTGAAAAAATTCAGAAAATCCAAAAATACATTGATTTAGTCATTTAGTAAAAATGTATAATTTTATGAGTTTTTTATATAACCATGTTTGTACCTAGGAACTTGGCTCGGCAACCGGACTGGCACTGGCCCTCGGGCCACAGTTAGTGGCCTAGGCCCTACCATTTTAGGGCCGGGCCATCCAGCCCATTGCCAGCACTACCCAGGAAATAAATAGATAAGCCCCCCTTCCCTTCTGGTATTGAATCAGCCCATATCTTGATTTGCATCAAGAAGACTTCAAGTTGGTCCTCTGTTTGTGCTTATCATCTTCTAAGGTTTACTAGCAGCCGGTGCAAGCTTGCTAATTGAACAGTATTTGTGCTAGCATTTGTTAAAAAGACATGGGCTTCCATTTTTTTTCTTATTGCACCTCACTCATGGTCTTGTTCTCTTTCTCATGCATTTAGAACATTTCAATAGTATGTCATCTGTGTAGCTGTGATTAAGTGCTTTCTCTGCTCCAGGGTTGAATTGGTTTGTGGTGCTCATTGCGTGCTAGATCCTAAGTCCATGAATTTTATCTTCCACGACCCTGATAAATTTTGCTTCTTGTGTTATAATCTCATGTTAGTCATTGTTAACTGATCAACTGATCCAATCTCTGTGACACCATCTTGGGCATGTGCTTAGAGTGTCTTATAGATGAAATTTTACAAATGTTGATATCTTTATGAGCCACTAAGACTTTGCACTAGGGAAGTGCAGTTGCCGTTTTCAGTGTGCCTTCTTGGGTTGTCATCGTAATTATATTGTACATCAGAAAACTAGTGGTGCATTGGTTCACCAAGTGTATTATTTAGTACCTTTTCCACCATTTATAAAAACAATTGGGGTTCTACTCTACAGTAAAGTGTACTTATACCACTTCCTTGGGTAGAAATAACTGTGTTTTTAATTGCAGTAAATACAAAAACTAATAAAGAACGTTTTTTTCTGTTATATATGGCATCTATGAGGGAATTAGAACATTGCCTTGATGATAAAGTTATTTGAAGCATTTCTTCTTGCCTTCATAGAATGGATAAAGGCATAATGGATATGCTAACATTTTCTTTGCATACAATATGGTATTAGATCTAATGTCGAAACCTACGTGAAAAAGTAAGGATTTACACTGTCAGTTGGGAAATGGTGGGACCTATTGCAATCAAAGCATGCTTCAGCGTTTTGCAAACCATGCTTTGATGTGAAAACATGCGCGCCACAATTTCACACAAAGACACCCTATGTCTTCTCTGAGGCAGTGTACTGTTACACAAGAACCATGGTTCTTTTATAACATGGACTCGAGAAAATGGCTTCTTGGGATGGCTATTGATAGATGGCATGAGCAAGGAGACATCCTTCCTTCAAATAATTTGTATCCTAGAAGTTTCAGAGCCAGGATTTTTATGACTGGGTTTACTGAGCTGGAGTTCTACCTTGGTTTCAATGTTTGTGCTACTAAGTTGTGAACCATGTGTAGCTTTGGGCATTGTCAACATGAGGGAAGTAGACATCACAAATTCTCTGTAGGAATATCGGAGTTCACCCTCAGAATATCCTTGCTAGAAAGACTCTCAGCAAATTGATGATGGAGAAATTCACGTATATATCTTCTACTGAGAAGGGTTGAGGATAGTTGCTAACATGCAATTTTTTCTTCTTTTCTGATTCCGCCTTCATATTCTGTATTCAGTTTTGCCCATAAAAGGGCATATAGAGTGATGGACTGTGTAACAAACAATAAGTTCTGAGGGATTGTTTTAGATAATGGAGGGATTCATGAGTAACTGCCAAAACCATCTGGAAACTTCAGGTACTTATGTGTCATTTGAAAATACTCCAAAACACCAAGGTGGTTCCCATGCTAGTTGATAAGCTCCACTATCCCTGTATGCTCGATTACCTTGATACGTGCACCTTAGATTCCCCAAAAGTTGCTTCGTCATGGCACATACTACAATTGTACACTAAATTATGTCAGACCATTCAATAAGGGGATCTCATATAAGGGCATCTATGTCTTTTAGCCCTTCACCATGTGTATATAAGCTATAACGCTTCATAGTTTTCCCTGAAGTTGTTCTTGACCTTGCCATATAAGCCATAAGGCTTCATAGTATTTTCAATATAGAAGCTTGCTCTTTCTAACTTATGAACATTAAGCCATAAGGCTTCACATTATTTCAATATAGAAAGAAGCTCGCTCTTTCTAACTTATGGATATAGGCTCTTCATCTAGCCATATCTGTTATCAACATGGTACTGTAATCTGTGTATCTCCCTCATCTTCTAATTGATTTCTCTATGTTTGCCTCTAGACTGCCATTATCTCTGCTCATTTGGTTCAGATATGTTAGAGCCTAAGCCCACCTTCTACATTTATGTTGGCCACCATGACTATATACGGCTATGGCTGTCACTGTCTTTGCTCCCAACTGCGTTGACTTCTCTGCAAATTATGTTTCTTGAGAGCACATCTCATCATTCCTTTGATTGCTAAGATGCTACTCTTTCAGCAGTTATGCATACTTTAACTCCTTCAGTTACATTGCTTACTCAGCCATCCAATCTACCCCGTTGCTGTCATTTGTATTTTCGTTACTATCCTGTTATAATATGCCCATGTGACTGAGATATTTCGTTCTATCATTTATATTACCCATTTTATGCTTATAGTTCTCTTCTACACCTGAGGAATGTACAAAATTTTTACTCCATTGTTCTCTTTTACTCCATTGCTCTTTTCTGAGGAATTGTACAATTCACTCTCAAGGTTCTTGAGCTTCTCAACACTCCGTTTCTCTTACTCTGAGTAGCAGTGAAATTTACTTTTAATGGTGGTGAAGGTTACCTTTTTCATCTTAATGCATTGTTTAGATTTTAAAACATAGGAATCATCATCATCATCATAGCCTTTTCTCAATTAATTGGGGTCGGGTACACGAATCCCGGTCACCATTTTGCTCTATTTAAAGGCCATACCCTTGGTGAGGCCATAAGTCCCCATATCTTTTCGGACTACTTCCAACCATGTCCTTTTGGGCCTATCCCTTGTCCTTTTCAGACATAGGAATAAGACTACTAATTCACCCGACTTGACTTTGACACTAGCCACAGCCTTGTTAAATTGAACAATTTTTTCTGGACTTTTTGATTGGAAACTTTGCCAAATATACCTAGTCAAGTTAGATGGGACCATAGCGAGTCCTTAGCTGAGCTCAATCTTTTTAAGCATCCACTTGATGTAGAGAGAAATCACCTGATCGACCAACATAGTAGGTTATTGTGAGTTTCTTTCTACTTAAATAACTTGAAAAGGTGGAACCTAACCTCTATTGTTAGAAATTAAAGGTCAAAGGTTAATCATCCTCAATGAAGATAAATTATGGAACTTCCTCTTGTGCTGGAATTCGGCATACTGTCTGTGAAGTAAGTACTGCTTAAGGTCTTGTTGGTCGTAACTTGTAACTGAATGTCAAATGCATTATCAGAGAAATTACCTATTTGCCCCAGAGTCATATACTTTTTTCTCTTGGTGCCTCTATTCCATTAGATAAGTTAACTTCTCTGTGATCCTGATTCTTGCAGATTTCAAGGATACCATTAAAAGACAATTAGCTTGCGAAAATATTGTAACATAGTTTTTCAGTGATAGCAAAAAAATAGATACTTACTTGAGCTAGTTTAAAGTAGTTGACACGTTGGGGGAATGGCTATAGATTTAATGGAGAACAACCAATTATCTTGGCAATGCACCAAATTCCATCCTTGCCACATGTATCGCCAAGGTGGTTACAGATTCTTCTGTGCCATGGCTCCATAAGACATCTCTTTGATCATGATGAGGAAACCAATGCTAGTTCTGCGTACTAAATTCATCAATCCTAGTCATCCTGAAACCTTTCATCTTCAGAAATATAAATGAACTTTCGCATTTGTGGATTGATTTGTTTTTGGGGTGTCACTAAAGTTTGCTTATGTTACAGATATGAATTCCCATGGAGCCTCACGAAGTTCATTCCTTTCTATGGAGGTGCAGAGCACCATGATTACCATCATTTCGTTGGAGGACAAAGCCAGAGCAACTTTGCTTCTGTGTTTACCTACTGTGATTACATATATGGAACTGACAAGGTGAGCAAATACTAACAATGGATTTATTTTTTCAAGCGTGTATAAAAAACTGAGTGCACTTTCAGCCTTTTTTACCAAGCATGCTTGTGCATGAACAGAGATTTGTAAGTTTTTCTCATAAGTATATGCTATAATCCAATGTATGGAAAACTGTAAATAGTGCTGGGGTCATGCCGTCTGATGAAATGAATGATGATGGAGAGAGGGTGGCGTCATGTCCTTATTTGGTTGGCTCCAGTCTTCCTTCATCATGGTCTGTTTCATTGGACAGTGTCGGCCCCAGTGGACTATGGTTTTCTACTATCTTTGGGTTATAATTTACAATTCCTTGAAATCAAAGGAGTAAAAACTGAACCAAATTTAGAAGATGCATGTCAAAACCAAGTTCACCCATACAATCTCTCTTATCCTTGCAGGGTTATCGGTTCCAGAAGGAGCATCTCTCAAAGGTAGCAATTGTGATCACCTTAATCTTTATTCTAGCCATAGTTTTCTGACTTGAACTTCCATAATTGAATAAAAGCGAGAAGGATAACGTATTGGCAAACTCATTATTGCAATCTAATAGGGGTTTCATTGTTAATCTTGTGTACAGATGAGGAGGAGATGGATTGCTGAAGGAAATGGAGAAGTCCCTCAAAAAATGGCCCAGGATCAGAAGTTACAGTAAACCTCAAATCCCAACACCCAAAAGTTAGTATGCTGGGAGTTTTATTTTTAGTGGTGGGACTTGCTTCTCCTTGTAGCCATATACCTCCTCTGAATCCATTCCATTTTCTGCATGGGTGCGTTGTTTATCAAGTTTATTTTGTGGGAGAAATTTTGTAGCCTGAACTGTAGTGACATTTTGTGAACTCAGTAGCAGCTCCCCCCTCCACTGTAACATTAATAGTTTTGATCTTTGCATGCTCAGATGCTTGTCAAGTAACAAATCTCATTCTGGGAATATCTTGGATTTTTTTTCTAATGTTTTGGGAAGTCTTGGGGAAAACAAGAATCAGGGAAACATGAATTAAGTAAGCGCTTCAATCACATCTGCTTCTACGTATGAGCATTTCCTATTAAGATCAAATATGTATTGAAGCACTAAAATAGTTGGTTAAATTTTTTTATTTTTTATTTTTTGCCCCTCTTTTCACGTTTAGTTGGTTTCATGCATGGACACATGCTTCTATCATTTCAGTTTCCGAAGAGGATTTTCTTTTTTCCTTTTTTTTTTCTTTTGATAAAATGACTTTGTATTAAATACTAATAGGAATGTACATAAGCTTGTAAATTTAGAAAATTGTGGTATACAATGAAGTCAGTATAGGTATTGGTATACACAAATGTGGCCTGTGGATATTTTGTACCAAATTCCCAAGTGGACACCCAGAGACTCCTACTCAGGACAGTGGTTTTGTGAGCATTGGCAAGGGCATTGGCTGCCGAGTTTGATTCACACTGTATTTATCTAAATGCCACTTTAAATCTGCTACTCAAGTCAAAACTTTGGACAAATATGGGGATGTGTTCCTCGAATATGGAGTTGCCTTCTCAGCAGGGTGCTCCCCCAGTTAGCCTCAAAAGGCTCAGCCCACTGGGCAGGGCCATGGCTTCAGTAAGGATGGAGTTCACTTGCCCTGTTGGGCACAAGAACGCAAGGATAGTTTTGGCTGTCTCATTACAGCAATACCTCCAATGCACGCAAAACGAACCAAAATAGGAACAATTGAAATTTAGTTTGACTTCACCAGCTGGATTCAGAAGTACACATGGGTTTGGATTGGATAATGTGTTCTGTTACTGTTTGAAATGAGTTACTGAAAAATACTGAAAGTCTTGGCAATATGTAGCCCAGAAAATGATGGTTGCCTTGAATTGTTCGATGATCACATTTTTGAGGGTCTCCGTGGTTATTCAAGACACTTTGTTCAGTTGTTGCCAAAAGTCTGGGTGATTGCAAGTATATCTGCCCACCATAAAACCAGTCTTGATAAAGAAATGTTTTTTTTGTTTTTTGGGGTGGAGTGGGGAGGAAGAGTTGTACTGTTGCTGGAGCAGCCCAGACCTGGTCAGACAAATTTAACATAAAGGACCAAACCTAGTGTCCGCAATGTAAGAATAGGCGGTGAATAAACTCTTCATTCTCATTGCACAACACACTTGTAAGATGAAACCCTCTTCGTTGCAGGTTGTTGGTGGTTCTTGATCTTTTGGATATGACCAGCCAGTTGAATGCTTGGACCTTAGATGGGACTGGGGAGAACCAGGTGCTCAAAGCCACTGAAGGTACTAATTAAGTATGGTTACTTTGGGTTAGACCAAAATAGAAAAAGGTGATCAGGAAGTCACCATTACAGGAGGGATACCAAACGAGTCTGTCATTGCAATATTGGGGGATGAGAGTGCTCAAGCTCAATAGGGTCACCAAGTGAAAAAACTCTTTGCCATTGAGATTACTTCTAATATCAGAGGCCAAAAAGTTTGACATTGGGATTCATGCCTCTTGGTCTAGAACAATTAGGAACAGATTAGGGAATTCCTCTTTCAAGGTCTCGCCCAACCAAGGATCTTTCCAAAACCTTATCCGGTTCTGAGTTTTTTTGGTGCAAATCAAATCCTCCTTTTGAACTCAAAGAGGATGATGCCACCCCTTTCCAGGCTCTTGAGGCTCGGTAATTCAGAATCCCTTTGGTGCCCCAACCAAGCCCCCCATGAGGCAGCTTATGTTCTGGTGCCAATCCCTGCGAGGGCACCAATCTCCCAACCTCATGCTAGGGTAGCAGTCCTCAATAGAGCCTCAGTGTCCCCCGTCCAATAGTAGGGTGCCAGTCCTCAATAGAACCCGGTATCCCAAACACGTAGTAGGGTGTTGATACCTAATAGATCCCTTGTATCCTAGCTCAAAATTAAGGTGTTGATCCCCATTGTGGTGCTGGTATCCCAAACTCATACTACGGTGCTGGTCTTCAGTAGAGCCCTGCTGTCCCAACCACATATGAGGACCCCATTCCTTGATAGTCCCCGATACCCATATTAAGGCCATGTCCCTGTCAGTCCAAATGGCAACAAGTCAAGAGGCTGTCATCAAGATGATTCAAGTGCTTATGCCCAACCAGATGCCAAGCTTATGATACACATGAATGCACCAGGTACAACTGTTGCAACACATGCCCAATCTGGGCTCCCACCTCAGACGTGCCACCATTTAAACCCCAGTGGTCAACAGCCAAGGTTGGGTTTGACCAATGGCCTAGCCAGTAAACTCCTATCTTCCATGGCTAAGAGGCAACAGATTCGCCTCTCTTGCCTCTGGCTCAGCCTGGACCACTAGTATTAATGCTTGCCTCTGATTCAGCCTGGACTAGTATTGATGCACAACTAGCAAGGGCAATCCCTTGGGAGGTCAAACCGAATCTAATGCTATGCAACTGGCTGGGGCCTTAAGCCTTGCGCTTCATAGACTTGGCGTCCAAAATATTGCCTTGCTAAGGGAGCGATTGTGATCAAGAAAGTGTGTTTTATAAAGATTTTGACAAACATAGACTCCAATTACATGAAAACCAGAGAAAACAAAAAATTCATGACCAAAATCGCAAGAATTTATACATAAATTTATGGTTCTGGGAACAACTTAGGGGCATGTGACCAATTTATTTTGTTTACATCCAATTGCTTGTGTGCGAGAGGACACTCCTGATTGGACTTTCCTAACACTAGAAGGAAGTCAAGAATTACAACAAATGTTTCAGAATTAGTTACAACTCAACGCAAATTTCATGTGACCTTCCATATATAATTGCAATGTAGGCAGTATAAGCCTGCTGTGTTCTTCTGCCTCTCCTTTGTCTTTCAAAAAGAAGATAGGATATTGGTCTTGTTCTCAGCTGAAAATGCAATCTCTTGATGAAGAATCACATGGGAAGCTCTAGGTGGGCCCTGGTAATCTGATTTTCTTAGGTCTCTCTCTTGATATGGGTTTTCTCTCTCTCTCCTCTCTACGCTCCTAGAAGGCTCTCACTTGCATATAGTTTTTCTGTGATCTTTTCCCCCTTCTTCCCTTTTGCCCAGGGCAATGGGTATTTATAGACCAAGTAGAGGAAACTTAGGGTTATTCCTACCTTGGAAACTCGAAGGAAATGTCTGGGAAGGTTAAATCCCTCTAAATATCTCAAAATTACCGATGTATCTCATGGGTTCATTCACCAGTGTCTTGGTCGTTTTGGCTTGATATATGGGCATATCCTCATCCAATCTATCTTATTAGATGCAGATTTGTGCCAAATTTTCCTCATGATATGGTGGAGAATTTAGTTGGTTATCCTACGACCTAAATAAAGAACTCTTCCAAATATTGGAGTTTCAAATTGATCCCAGTTGCTCATTATGCAGCTCACCCCCCTCTGACCCTCAATTTGATCTTCAATTCACATTTTGATCTTGGAGAGACTCTTCTTGATCAGTGTTTCAAAAACGCTAGGCAGCCGGGGGGGTCCAGGCCTCCCAGTGCCTAGGCCGGCGCCTAGAACCTGGGCGGCCCCAGTAGAAAGAAACATGTCTCTATAGTCTAACAATATAAGTCTAACTGTATAACACATAAGATTTAGGGATTTAGGGCACATCAAATCTATAGTACACAAATCTACATAGTACACACGCCTCCATACTGCATAAGTCCATAGTCTGATAGTCCACTAATTCTAATATCAATGGGTGATGCTTTGATAAATTTCTCATAACTTTGAGAAACCCTTAGATCCTATGGAGATCACCAAAAACTAGTTTTTTGGGTTTTTTCTCTCTCTAAAATGGGCTCTAATGAGGTTTAGATTTCAAATGAACCTAAAACTCATGATTTTACCCCTTTCAAATTAAAAAAAAAAAAGAAAACCAAAAAATGCTTTCAACGAGGGGCTGGGCATGTCTGCCCCTGGGCTGGGCACCTGCCTAGGTGGGTTCCCTGGTGCCTAGGCAGACTTCTAGGGACAGTCCGCCTAATTTGGCTGCCAAGGCTTGGGTGCCTCGCCCAAGCCTTTTGGACCGCCTAGGCGCTAGACAGTCCGCTTTTAAAACACTGGTCTAGATATTTATATAAGCTTGTAGAACAATGAAATAGGATTATTCTTATGAGTTCAAAATACTGAATGATGGAGAAAGTAAGCATTAGTGGTCTAGTGCTCCTCTGCTTTGCTACAGACAGCCAGGCTATCAGAGGCGGTCTAGGCAAACTTTGGCACTTTGAAAATTGGGTCAAATGGTATCCAAATGTGCTGAAATTTGGAAAATAGGCTGTAAAGCCCTATATTAAAAACTCACTAAGTTTCATCTTAAGATTGTTTGGTAGGACCTGTCTTTGAATGGTGCACTTGTAAGGGGCTATTTAAGCCACTGGTAGTCTAACCCGTTCAGAAAGCAAGTATGCAACCAAAGTGTCAAAGCTCCATGAGAATTAGTGGAGAGATTGTGAAGGATTACCCTGCCATAAAGTGATATACTTCCAATGCCAATAAAAAGTAACCCATCCAATGGCAGAAAACCGCCAAAGATTGTTATAGCTATGTCTCGAAGCTTGTCCAAGTTTCATCTTGATTCAAGACCCTATAGTGAGTCTCTGAGGAATCAATTTATTGGCAACTCCGCTTACAAAAGCAAGTATATCACCTGCGTGTCCAAATTTGATGAAAATCGGCAGGGAGCTTCTCCCATCCTGATTTGAATATTCGCCAAGTTTCAATTCATTTAGGGCTAATTTGATACGGTTTAGATAGACTGCGATGCGACTTTATAGCATATTGGCTGCCAACTGCCCTGATGCACAGCCTTTGCTATAGAACCAGGCCACATGTGGCATGTAGGCTGTGGAAGAGCTATGGTATTCACCCCTAGGGATTCATACCATGTTTTGAAGGATAATTAAGGCCAATTATGTCCATTCCCATGGCTTCGTACCATGTCTGGGCGGCC